CATGTGTTTTCACGCTTGTCCCGGTCTGAGGCGTTAGGAACCTACGTGTTCGGACGCCTGTCCCGCCCTGAGTTAAGAACCCTGTGTTTTCACGCTTGTCCTGCTCTAGGGCTATGTGTTTTCACGCTTGTCCCGCTCTGGGGTGTTCCCGCTCAAAGGGCGTTAAGAACCCACGTGCTTTCACGTTTGTCCCGATTTGGGAAGTTATGGTCCCATGTGGTTTGTTCACGTTTGTCCCGATCTGGGGGGGCGTTAGGAAGCAATGATATGTTTATGCTTGTCTCGCTTTGGGGCGCTAGGAATATCCCACGTGTTTCACGTTTTTTCATTCTGAAGAGTCAAGAACCGATGTGATTTCACACGTTTCCGCATTCCCAGAACCACCTGGGCATCCTGGGGTGCCGAAGCCCGTCAAGTTTTGCAGAACAAGCGTTTCGCTCGAGATTTCCTGGACATTTCTTCGCGCAGGATGCGCCCTCCTCGGGCGAGCACGCAAAACGTAGTTAAATATTTACAAGGTTTCGGCAAATAGGTTAAGATTCCAGACCACGTCGTTCGCCCACGATTCTGCGCAAAACGCTGCGCATCTTCTCCGACGGCCACGTTCCCTAGTAAATTACGCTGTGTCCGTCTCCCAAGGGCCACGATCCTTAGTAAATTACGCTGCGTCCGCGCTCCCACGGCCGCGATCCGTTGTAAATTACACGGCGCCCGCACTCCCAAAGCCACGATTCCTTGTAAACGCGGCGTCCGCACTCGCTGGGCCAGGGCCCCTTGTAAATTACATTGGAAGTAAACGGCATCCGCGCTCCCAGGGCCATGATCCCTCGTAAATTACGCGGCGTCCGCGCGCCCAAAGCCACGATCCGTCGTAAATTACGCTGGGTTTGCGCTCCCAGAACCCCCTGGGCATCCTGGAGCGCCCAGGCCAATCAAATTGTGCAAAACGAGCGTTTCGCGCGAGACGTCCCCCGAATTTCTGCGCGTAGGACGCGCCATCCTCGAGCGGGCACGCAAAAAGTCAACATGTTCACATTTTGTTTGTCCTGGTCGGGCTCCAGACTTCGTTTTTCCTGAAGGATTCTGCAAAAAATGCCCCGCACCCTCTTTACGAGGGAAAGCGGGTGTCTGCAGATCCTCTTGTTTATTGGGGATCCGAGGCGGGGGGCGCACTTTCCTCGAGCGAGCACGGGCGAAACATTTTTTCCACGCTGAATTGGACTTTACCTCGTTATTTATCGCAAATAATTTGCCCGGCCTCCTTCATACATGGCACGAAGGGAAAACGAAACTAAAAGAGAACCCTGGGTCTAAGCCCTTCCGGGAAAAGAGAATCCTGGGCCCACGCCCTTTCCGGGAAAATTGCGCCTCAATTTTGTATTCGCCGGCCCGTCTCGACCTTGTAATTCATCACAGAAGATAACATAACATAATTTCGCGGGCCGGGTCAAGTCGTCCCGGGGGTCAAGCCGCTAAAAGAGAACCCTGGGCCGGCGCCCTTTCCGGAAAAATGTGGCTCTCGCTCCAGCGCAGCGCACGCTCGTCTTAAGAATTTGCAGCCGTTTCAAGGATTCTCATAGTTAACGTCCCTGAGCTGGTGTTTCGACACGATGTCGGAATGTCAGGGCGCAACAGTCACGTTGATTCGCGGTGTTCAAGTCCCAGGACTGGTGATCTGACGCGCTGTAGGATCGTCACGATGCAACGATAACGGTGATTCGCGCCGAAAATGTCACAGAAACATGTTCTGGCACAGTTCCGGATTTTCAAACGGTTGTCTTCCAGCGGGGCACTTCCTTCAGTGACAATGGAATCGTGTAGGGGCCCCTGAAGGGGGAAGGGAGGGTTTATTGCAACGTCGTTGATGATGAGTCTTGGATTTACACTCCTCCTCCTCCTCCTCCTCCCTCCCCCCCTCCAGCCCCATGTCCCGAGCCTGTGGCCGGGCCCTCAACTCGTCGTCGTCATCTGCGTCGTCGTCGTCCTTCAGGGTCGGCGGCACCGGCCGAAAGGCCGTCACAATAGACCGAAGGTAAACAGATCCGCTCACTTGGGCGACCATATCAAGATGCACTCATACTCATATCCGTTCGCCCTCAGACCCACGCCTACTCAAACTCGTTCGTACCCAACCTCCTCGCGCACTCAAGCTCACTTGTCTTCTGGCGTTCTCAAACTGAAACTGCTCATGTTCAGAGGCGCCCACGCCCACTCACCCAGACTCACTCCCGCCGAGGCTCTCAAACACACCCATACCAAGACACTCAGACATGACCGCGCTAGAAACGAGACATCGAGTACTTGCTCCCCTGGTCCCCCTTTCTCCAATGTGAAGCATGATCGACCCACGAACCCGGCAAGGAATATAGAAATATAAGGCATGGCAACGTTTCAAAGACACCTGATTGGGCGACGGGCAAATGCAATACTGAATGTATCGATCTTGATACACTGTGCCGAGGGCTGTGGCATGCTACGCCGTGCTGCACTGCTATGTGCCATGACGCGATTGTGCTCTCTCTCTCTCTCTCTCTATATATATAGCGTTGTGGATCGAGTCCTCCCTGGCATCCGAGTCATGACCGAACTGATCTGGATCTTAAGCTCGAGCTGCCTCAGCACATGGTAGCTGCCCCAGAACTTATTCGACAGAAGGGACATGCCAGGAGAACGCGCCGCGGAACGTCCCAAGGGCCGCGCCAGGCGACGTGCCAGGGGACGTGCCATGGGGACGCACCGCGGGACGTGCCAATGGACGCGCCGCGCGACGTGCCAAGTGGACTCGCCACGGAACGCGCCAAGGAACGTGCCAAGGTGCAATGTTGAGTGTATCGATCTTGATGTACCGTGCCGAGGGCTGTGCTGTACTGGGCCGTGCTGAACTGCGATGTGCCATGCCGCGATTTTACTCTATATAGCGTTGTGGATCGAGTCCCCTTTGCATCCGAGTCCTGACCGAACTGATCTGGATCTTAAGCTCGAGCTGCCTGAGCACATGGTAGCTGCCCCTGAACTAATCGACAAGGGGACATGCCAGGAGGACGCGCCGCGGAACGTCCCAAGGAACGCGCCGGGCGACGTGCCAGGGTACGTGTCATGGGCACGCACCGCGGGACGTGCCAAGGGGACGCGCTACGGAACGTGCCAATGGACGTGCACCGCGCGACGTGCCAGGGGGACGTGCCAGGAGGGACTCTCCGCGATACGTGCCAGGCAACATACCAGGCTGCAATGCTAAGGGTATCGATATTGATGTACCGCGCCGAGGGCTGTGCTGTGCCTGGGCGACCTGGGCACGTGAAAACACGCGTTGCGCTCAAGACATTCTCAGCACATCCTCATGCTAGACATCCGCCTGGGCAACCTGGACACGTGCAAACAAGCGTCTCGATCGAGACGCCCTCGACACATCCTCATGCTAGACATCCGCCTGGGCGACCTGGACACGTGAAAACAAGCCTCTGGTTCGAGACATCCTCAACAAATCCTCATGCTAGACAACTGTCTGGGCAACCTGGAGGCGTGAAACCGAGCGTCTCGCTCGAGACATCCTCAAGACCTGGGCACGTGAAAACAAGCATTTCACTTGAGAGATCTTCTGAATTCAGGTCCCCAGGAGAGGACACTCTCTAGCACAAAACAAGCGATTCGCTCGAGACATCCTCAACAAATTCTGAAGCACAAGCGTTTCGCTCGAGACATCCTCAAATTTTAATTCGCCGGCCCTACGCGACCTCGTTATTTATCGCAGAAGAAATTCGCCGGCCCTACAGCCGTCAGATCCGGGGGCAAACCCACAAAAAAGAACCCTGGGCCCACGCCCTTTCCGGGAAAAAACACCATGGCATGCGCTGTCGATACCTCTCAAACCAATAGTCGGCAGATGCGCTTCAGGAGGTAACTGCATATACTTTGAGAGCCACGCGCTGTTGACACGCGCGGGTGGGGGGGGGGTACGCGCTTCCTCGTGGTCACCCCGCGGATGGGGGGACGAGGGGCAGCGGTGAAGGAGGCACAAAGGAGCCAAGAGAGAGAGAGAGAGAGAGAGAGAGAGAGAGAGGAACAGGGCATGAGGGTATGCGCCCGAGACAGTGCGGAGAGTAGCGGAGACAGAATGCGCCACCACCGAACTGCTCAAACGTAAGCGCTCGGAGGGCCCCGCGGAGTGGCCGCGGTCGGCGCTGGCTCCCCTACCCTGGCCCGCAGGGGCGCACCAGGGGCGCGAAAGGGGGGGGGGTCCTGCGCCGACCCAACAATTCCGCGCGGACCCCCGACAATCTGTCCTTCTGCCATTCTCTCTTTCCTTCGGGCGACGGCGAAGGGGCAGTGGGGTAGGAGCCACCCAGACATTCAGCAAATTCATCTTTGTCGATGCGGAGGCGTGGGCCCCTGGAGGCCTCGACCACTCCCCTGTAGATGGGGCCGACTTCTCGCCCGGAGTCTCTGCCTGACGGTCCCGGGACCCGTTGAGGGCCCATGGGCCCCCGACTGGCAGCTCAATTTTCTTGGAGCCTCGGATTTCTGGGTGAGCATCGTTTAGCTGATCCCCATCCCCACTGGCGTGGCCTGGGCCCCACTGATGGTGGGGATCGGGATGGGACTGGGGACAGGGATCGGTTAAACGATCCTGACTGGGGAGAAGGGAGGATGGGGGGCGGACGTGAGCCGCAAGGCTGTGGCAGGCTCGCGCCGCGGCGACGTCCAAACCACTGGCGAGATCGCCGCCGCGCCAACGCGGCGCGCGCCCGCCAGAATTGAGGAGGGACCACCGTCCCGGCATTCCTGTAGGCCAATCACGAGATGTTCTTCGAGTGAGGGAACTTTCTAAGAACAAAGACCAATGTTCTGAAGACACAAACCCGATGCATCTAAAACGGATGATCTCAGCCAGAAAGGTTCTAAGAGCATGTCGTGCAAACCACAAAAGGTTCTCAGAACTTTCTTTGGTGGGACTACATGCAGGGCAGCATGCTTCGCCCTTGCTTGGGCCGCAGGGGCGCCTGCCCGTTGGCGGGCATGGTCGGACTTCTGGCCACGCACTGCCTGTACTTCTGGCTGGCGCTCTCGGCGTAGGCGGCGCGGGCCTGTGCGGGCCAGAGCCTTGCTCTTCCGACAAGAGCAGCTAACCTCGAGTTCGAACATCGGGCCGAATCGGAATAATGATGTCAATGATACGGATGGTGCTGATGCTAACATTGACGATGATGATGCTGCTGCTGATGCTGCTCATGATGATGATGACGATGAATATGACGACGATGGTGATCGTGATTGTGATGATGGTGATAGTGATATTGATCATGTTCATGTTCATGATGATGATGTTGATTATCTGATGCTGATGATGCTGCTGGTGATGATGACGATGATACTGATGCTGATGATGCTGCTGCTGCTGCTGATGAAGATTGATGACGTTTATTATGATGACTTTTCTCCAACCATCCTGTGGTGCTGGGTCCTCGCTTTGAAGAGACAACGCCCCGCGCTCTTCCCGCTGCCCCCTCCTCCCACCCTCCTCATCCCAACCCATCCCTGCCTTTACCCTCCGTATATCACTGTTTCGGCACACCCCTCGTACGTTTCGTGGGCCAACAGGGAGCTTCACCGAAGGCCCCAATGGCAGCGCCCGCATGCGGTTTCACTCCAATTTCTGCAAGCCGCTCACACGTTATGTAGCACCACAAAGAACTTTACCAAGGGCCGCAGTGGCAGCGACCGCATGCGGTTCCACCCTCCGTTTCGGCGCACTCCTCACACGTTTCGTGGCCCCAGAAGGAGCTCCAACGAGGGCCCCAGAGGCAACCACTGCATGCGGTTCCACCCTCCATTTCGGCACACCCCTCACACATGCCGTGTCCCCCCAAGGAGCTCAACCGAAAGCCCCAGTGGCAACGGACGCGTGTGGTTATCCCCCCATTTCGGTGCACCCCTCACACGCTTCATGACCGCGTAGGAAGCTTCAGCGAACGGCCTCAGTGGCATCGATCGCATGCGGTTCCCCTCCCATGTCGGCGCACCCCTTACGCGTTTCGTGACACCATAGAATGTTCCACCGAAGGCCCGCGTGGCAGCGCCCGCATGGGGTTCCACCCTCCACTTCGGCGACCCCCTCACTCGTTTCGTGGTCCCACAGGGAGCTCCACCGAAGACCTCAGTGGCAGCGGCGCCCGCATGCAATTCCACCCCCATGTCGGCACACCCCTGTCGCGTGTCGTGGCCCCACAAGGAACTCCACCGAGGGCCCCAGCGGCAGCGCCCGCACGCAGTTGCCCTCCCCCCCCCCTCACACCCCCATTTTGGTGCACAACTCACACGTTTCGTGCCCTCCACCGAAGGCCCCAATGGCAGCGCTCGCACGCAGTTCCACGCTGATTTCGGTGCACCCCTCACACGTTTCGTGGCCCCATGGGGGGCCGCACCGAAGGCTCAAGACGCAGCACCCGCATGCAGTTCCACCCTCCATTTCGGCACACCCCTCTCACGTTTCGTGCCCCCCCAGGGAGCTCCACAAAGGTCCCAGTGGCAGCGCCCTCATGCGGTTCCACCACCATGTCGGTGCATCCCTCACGCACGTTTCGTGGCCCCATAGGGAGCTTCACTGGAAGCCCCTGTTGCAGCGCCCGCACGCAATTTCCCCCTCCCATGTCGGTGCACCCCTCATCCGTTTCCTGGCGCCGTAAGTATCTCCACCGAAGACCCCAAGGGCAGCGCCTGCATGCAGTTCCACCCCCACTTCGGGCACACCCCTCACACGTTTCGTGGCCCCATAAAGAACTCCACCGAAGGCCCCAGAGCCAGCGCCCGCCTGCGGTTCCTCCCCCCATGTCGGTACACCCTTCATACGTTTCGTGCCCCCATAGAAAGCTCCACCGAAGGCCCCAGGGGCAGCGCCTGCATGCAGTTCCACCCTCCATCTCGGCACACTCCTCACACGTTTCGTTGCCACATAGGGAGCTCCACCGATTGCCCCAGTGGCAGCGCCTGCATGCGTTTCCCCCCCATTCCGGTGCACCCCTCACAAGCTTCATGACCCCATAAGGAGCTCTGAGCTCCATCGGAATCCCATATGCTAGCGCCCGCATGGGGTTCCACCCTCCACTTCGGCGACCCCCTCACGCGTTCCGCGGCCCCATCGGGCTATGCCATGAGGAGCGGCCTCCGACTAAGGCTCCAGCGGCAGCGCCCGCATGCGGTCCCACCCGCCGTTTCGGCACATCTCTCACACGTTTCGTGGCCCCACAGGGAGGTCCACCGAAGGCTCCAGTGGCCCCTGTTGCTGGCCCCCTCCTGCATCTCATCTTCCCCGCGATGCTCGAAGGCCCCAGCGGCAGCGCCAGCATGGTGGCCCCGCCACATTTCGACACATCCTTCACGCGCTTCGTAGCCCCATACGTAAGGAGATCCACAGAATGCGATACTCACAACGACGGTACGCGCACTTGCAGATGGATGGGTCCTTCGCCAGACAAATTAACTCCTCCGAGTCAGCCAGCTGGGTTTGGAGCGTCTGGAGCAGGGCGGAAGCAGTCATCTCGCAGCGGATGACGACGACGATGACGATGATGCTGATGCTGATGCTGATGATGCTGATGATGTTGATGATATGAATGGTGATGATGACGACGATGCTTATGATGATGGTGGTGATGGTGATGATGACGGGGATGAAGATGATGACGATGATGATTATTATGGCGATGCTTGTGATACTAATGATGGTGATATGGATGGTGTTGGTTGATGACGTTGACGATGAGATCGGGTCGATACATCGGGAAATCGTGCCGGATCGGGCCGCACCGGCACGGAGTCGGACTCGAATCGGATCGGCCGGCCAAGACGCACAACAGCGCCATGCGAGCGTCGGGCCGCACCAAATCGACGGAAAATCGGAATCGAATCGGAACGGGCCGGCCAGATTCGGTCTCGGATCGGGTCGATCGGATCGAAACGGACCCTACCCCGCCCCCCTATTCGACCCCTCGCGGAAAGCCCAAGGATGCAAGAAAACAAGATCAGGATGAGGAGAAGAGAGGACAACGGGCGTCGGGCTTTAAATGACATACTGGGTGCAGTACGTATCATTCGAGACGCCACGGCCCTACCATGCAAGGCACCTCAGGGGCGGATATCAAGAAGCGCGAGGCCCAGATTTCAAAGTTCGGGCATCGGCAGGATGAGATATTGGATGCGGCTTTGAAGTGGGAGGGTCGAAACATTCGAGCGCACATCGACAAAGAGATCGGGGGAGGAAACAAATACGAAGGAGGAGCGAGGAGGGACACATCATCCATCTGTCCGGTTCTTAGATTCGTGGAGCAGGACAGCGGGGAGCGCGCGGCCGAGCAAAACATGATCGACCCACGAAACCGGAAAGGAATATAGAAATGTAAGGCATGGCAACGTTTCAAAGACACCTGATTGGGCGACGGGCAAACGTAATGCTGAGTGTATCAATCTTGACGTACCGTGCCGAGGGCTGTGCTGTGCTGCGCCGTGCTGAATTGCTATGTGCCATGCCGCGATAGTGCTCGATAGCGTTGTGGGTCGAGTCCTCCTTTGCATCCGAGTCTTGACCGAACTGATCTGGATCTTAAGCTCGAGCTGCCTCAGCACATAGTAGCTACCCCAGAGCTAGTTGACAGGGGGACATGCCAGGAGGACGCGCCGCGGAACGTCCCAAGGGACGCGCCATGCGACATGTCAGGGGACGTGCCATGGGGACGCACCGCGGGACGTGCCAAGGGGACGCGCTGCGGAACGTGCCAATGGACGTGCCACCGGCCGTGCCGGGGGACGCGCCGCGCGACGTGCCAGGAGGGACTCGCCACGGGACGTGCCACAGAACGTGCCTGGTTGCAATATCGATCTTGACGTACCGTGCCGAGGGCTGTGCTGTGCTGCGCCGTGCTGAATCCCACCAGCCCTTTGGGCGTGAGTGGTTTAGCGAGCTCTCTCTGTTCTCAACCCCCCTTCTTCCCCTTCGGGGAGGGGTTTACCCCTCCCCCTACCCCCTCCCCCTGGGCCTGGAGAGGGCGTTCCGCGGGTCGTTGGAGGGGTCTTTTTCGACTCCTGGGAGGGCTAAAATTCGACACCCCTCACGAGGATTCTGGCCCCGACGGGGGGGGGGAGAAAAGTGCTCGCCCCATCTGTGATCGATCGCCCGACAGATGGCCCCAAGATTCCTCCCAGACCCCTCCCAAAGAGCCCCAAGAGGCCCCAAGAGGCCTCCAAGAGGCCCCCAAGATGCCCCCAAGAGGCCCCAAGAGGCCCCAAGAGGCTCCCCCGAGGCACCCAAGACGCTCCTGGAAGCCCCTGGAGCCGCCAAGAGGCCCCCAAGACGCCCCAAACGGCCTCCAAGAGGCTCCCAAGAGGCCCGAAGAGGCTCCCCCAAGGCACCCAAGACGCTCCTAGAAGCCCCTGGGGCCGCCAAGAGGCCCCCAAGACGCCCCAAAAGGCCTCCAAGAGGCTCCCAAAAGACATCTACTACTACATACTACTACTACTACTACTACTACTACTACTATACACCACTACCACCACCCCACCACCACACCCCACCTCCACCACCACCACACACACCACCACCACCACCTACACGACTAGTACTACTACTACTACTTCAACTACTGCTATACTACTACTATATACTACTGCTACCTACTTAATACTAACTACTCTACATCCTATTACGACTACTCCTACTACTACTATTACTACTACGACCTACAACTACTATACTTACTACTACTACTACTACTACTACTACTACTACTACTACTACACTACTACTACTACTACTACGACTGCTACTACTACTACTACTACTACTACTACTACTACTACTACTACGACTACTACTACTACTACTACTACTACTACTACTACTACTACTACTACTAGTACTTACTACTACTACTACTACTACTACTACTACTACTACTACTACTACTACTACTATTACATCTACATCTACATATACTACTACTACTGCTGCTACAACAACAACAACAACAACTACTACTACTACTACTACTACTAGTTCTAGTCCCACCAGCCCTTTGGGCGTGAGTGGTTTAGCGAGCTCTCTCTGTTCTCAACCCCCCTTTTTCCCCTTCGGGGAGGGGTTTACCCCTCCCCCTACCCCCTCCCCCTGGACCTGGAGAGGGCGTTTCGCGGGTGGTCAGAGGGTCCTTTTTCTATCCCTGGGAGGTCTAAAATTCGACACCCCTCACGAGGATCGTGGCCCCGACGGGGGTACTGACCAAAATGCTCGCCCCATCTGTGATCGATCGCCCCAAGGATGGCCCCAACAGGCCCCCAAGACGCTCCAAGAGGCGCCCAAGAGGGCCCCCGGACGCTCCCAAGATGCTCAAAAGAGAGCCCAAGAGGCCCCTCTACGATCTCCACGAGGCCTCCAAACTGCCTTGGATACGACTACTTGTACTACTACTACTACTACTACTACTACTACTACTACTACTACTACTACCACTACTACCACTACTTCTACTACTACTACTACTACTACTACTACTACTACTACTACTACTACTACTACTACTACTACTACTACTACGACTACGACTACGACTACGACGACTACTACTACTACTACTACTACAGTAGTAGTAGTAGTAGTAGTAGTAGTTAGTACTACTTACTACTACTACTACTACTCTACTACTACTACTACTACTACTACTACTACTACTGCTACAACTACAACTACTAACTACTAACTACTACTTACTACTACTACTACTACTACTACTACGACTACTACTACTACTACTACTACTACTACTACTACTACTACTACTACTACTACTACTACTACTACTACGACTACTACGACTACTACGACTACTACGACTACTACGACTACTACGACTACTACGACTACTACGACTACTACGACTACTACGACTACTACTACTACTACTACTACTACTACTACTACTACTACTACTACTACTACTACTATTCCCACTACTACTACTACTACTATTCCCACTACTACTACTACTACTATTACTACTACTACTGCTACTGCTACTGCTGCTACTACTACTACTACTACTACTACTACTACTACTACTACTACTCCTACAACGAGGGGCCCGAACGACTTGTACCAGGACGAGGTGCCCGAACGCCTCACGCCACGAGGAGCCCGAACGACTCACACCAGGACGAGGGGCCCGAACGACTCACACCACGAAGAGCCCGAACGACTCACACCAGAAGGAGGGGCCCGAACGACTCACACCAGGACGAGGCGCCCGAACGACTCACACCACGAGGAGCCCGAACGACTCACACCACGACGAGGGCCCCGAACGACTCACACCACGAGGAGCCCGAACGAGTCACACCAGGAGGAGGGGCCCGAACGACTCACACCAGGACGAGGGGCCCGAACAACTCACACCACGAGAAGCCCGAACGACTCACACCAGGACGAAGAGCCCGAACGACTCACATCACGAAGAGCCCGAACGACTCACACCAGGAAGAAGGGCCCGAACGACTCACACCAGGACAAGAAACCCCAAACGACTCAAACCACGAGGAGCGCTTTCTCTCCCTCCTCCTCCGCCTCGTCCTTCTCCCGCTCCCACCACAAGGAGGATGTACAAGGAGGCGGGAGGAAGGATGAACAGGGGAGATATGCGGGGGCAGGCGGAAACACGCCTGAAAAACACGACTGTCGGCATGCTTCGCAAGAGTTGCTGTTTTGAGATGGGCTGGTGGGGATACGCGAAGCGTAAAGAATTGCGATGTGCCATGCCGCGATAGTGCTCGATAGCGTTGTGGATCGAGTCCTCCTTTGCATCCGAGTCCTGACCGAACTGATCTGGATCTTGAGCTCGAGCTGCCTCAGCACATAGTAGCTACCCCCAGAGCTAGTTGACAGGGGGACATGCCAGGAGGACGCGCCGCGGAACGACCCAAGGGACGCGCCATGCGACATGTCAGGGGACGTACCATGGGGTCGCACCGCGGGACGTGCCAAGGGGACGCGCTGCGGAACGTGCCAATGGACGTGCCACCTGCCGTGCCGGGGGACGCGCCGCGCGACGTGCCAGGAGGGACTCGCCACGGGACGTGCCACAGAACGTGCCTGGTTGCAATGCTGAGTGTATCGATCTTGACGTACCGTGCCGAGGGCTGTGCTGTGCTGCGCCGTGCTGATTTGCGATGTGCCATGCCGCGATAGTGCTCGATAGCGTTGTGGATCGAGTCCTCCTTTGCATCCGAGTCCTGACCGAACTGATCTGGATCTTAAGCTCGAGCTGCCTCAGCACATAGTAGCTACCCCAGAGCTAGCTGACAGGGGGGCATGCCAAGAGGACGCGTCGCGGACCGTCCAAAGGGACGCGCCATGCGACATGTCAAGGGACGTGCCATGGGGACGCACCGCGGGACGTGCCAAGGGGACGCGCTGCGGAACGTGCCAATGGACCTGCCACGGGCCGTGCCAGGGGACCCGCCGCGCGACGTGCCAGGAGGGACTCGCCACGGGACGTGCCACAGAACGCGCCTAGTTGCAATGCTGAATGTATCGATCTTGACGTACCGTGCCGAGGGCTGTTGCGCCGTGTTGAATTGCGATGTGCCGTGCCGCGATAGTGCTCGATAGCGTTGTGGATCGAGTCCTCCTTTGCATCCGAGTCCTGACCGAACTGATCTGGATCTTAAGCGAGCTGCCTCAGCACATAGTAGCTACCCCAGAGCTAGTTGACAGGGGGACATGCCAGGAGGACGCGCCGCGGAACGTCCCAAGGGACGCGCCATGCGACATGTCAGGGGACGCGCCATGGGGACGCACCGCGGAACGTGCCAAGGGGACGCGCTGCGGAACGTGCCAATGGACGCGCCACGGGCCGTGCCAGGGGACGCGCCGCGCGACGTGCCAGGAGGGACTCGCCACGGGACGTGCCTGGTTGCAATGCTGAGTGTATCGATCTTGACGTACCGTGCCGAGGGCTGTGCTGTGCTGCGCCGTGCTGAATTGCAGTGTGCCGTGCCGCGATAGTGCTCGATGGCGTTGTGGATCGAGTCCTCCTTTGCATCCGAGTCCTGACCGAACTGATCTGGATCTTAAGCTCGAGCTGCCTCAGCACATAATAGCTACCCCAGAGCTAGTTGACAGGGGGACATGCCAGGAGGACGCGCCGCGGAACGACCCAAGGGACGCGCCATGCGACATGTCAGGTGACGTGCCATGGGGACGCACCGCGTGACGGGGCGAAACACCGGTGCATGCCGTCGGGGGGCCGCAACCTGTGGAAGCAGTTCTCGACGTCACCGATCCCCAGGGTGAAGACACACTCGGGGTCTTCGCTGAAGCCCGACTCGCACTCGATCCTGGACAAACCTTCGTTCGTGATCAGGTCGGTGTGCGGATGGGCGCTGAGACGACGGTTCCCCCTCCTCGCACCGATGATGAGCCTCAAGGGCTTGTCTTACCTACGAAGAACATGCCCGCGTGCTCAATGGGCTCGGTGGTCCACCGGATCAGGCCCCGGCGCTCGAGGTCCAAAATGAACTGCCGGTAGGTCTTCCGGTTCCGCGACAGCTTCCTGTCCTAGAATAGCTTGATATCACCCAGCCTCTCGTTGAGCTTGTCAAACTCATTGGTTGACCGCGTCGTGCTCTTCTGCCAACCCTCGATGATCAGGCGGCCATCAGCGTCGGGCACCTTCGTCACGACTGCTGTATCATGGACGTGTTCGGGGAGCGAGACGGAACCATAATCGTAGGGCACGACGGTGGTGTAGGTCTCCTCGGCGTCGGAGCTGAGGTGGCCTCGGAGAAGCACGCGAGCGGCTTCTTCCTGGGAAGGCGCTGCCACAGGCTTCGCGATGACAGGGGCGACGAGGTTCGCCACAGCCTCCTTTTCGAATGCAGCTGCGCCTGGCGGCCCTGAAGTCCGCGAACCCAGACGCCAATGGAGCGCATCCAAGGTCTCGTTCTTGCGCCTCAGCTCCTCTGCGCTCAGCCCGCGTCGACGTCTGGACCGGCGAGAGACAGCTCCCGCCTGGGACGGGATGTCGAAGGCGGGAAGGCGGCGATGCACTCCCATGCAAGACCTGGTAAAGGCGGCGGGGGCTGGCCCACTTCCCCCGCCGCTCGCCTCCATCATGACGCCGGCGGGGGCGCTGGAGGCCCAGGCTTGCCTTTCTTGGTCTTGCCTCCTGCTCTTCGGCCCCCGCCGCCTTTGCTGGTCCCCGCTGCCTTTGCCGCCTTTGCCGGCCGCGCAAGGGTCGTCCTCGCCGTAGCCGTCCGCCTGCGGCGCGGCCAGCCCGCCGCGCTGCGCACTCTCCTCCAGCACCTTCTCCTTCAGCCTCCTCGCGCCGTAGATGCGCAGGTCTGGGGCCGCGGCGTCCTCCAGCATCGCGGTGCCGGAGTACGCGCTGGCCATGCTGTAGTTCGGCTTCGCGCCCGGCACCGAGTGTGCCTCCAGGAGTGTCTGGAAACGCCTCATCAGCACCTCGATCCCAGCTAGGCAGGGCATGTTCACCTGGTCGTAGCACCAGGACTGCTCGAAGCTCTCGGCAAGCACCCGAAGCTGGTGGTAGGCGCGGTCGGAGGGGGCGACGTGCCTCCTCCTTCCCCGCGCCTCTAGCCAGGCCGTCGGCATTGGCCCAAAGCGGTCGATGTGCTTCATGACGCCATCGAGCGGCCAGTCCAGGAAGGAATGCGAGGTGGACTCCCTGCGCACCTCCTTCCAGTCCTTGTGCCGCTCTCCCTGCGCGTCCCAGTCGACCTCCAGCACGCGCGCGTCCGTCGCCGCCTCGTTGTTGGTCGCCGTCGCTGCCGCTCCAGGAGGCGGCTCCCCGAGCGTGCGCTCGTTGAGAGGGCTGCCTGCCCCCGCGGCCTCAGCCTCGCGGGCGCCCGCCTCTAGCGCGATGGCGGGCTCCGGGGGGCGCCGGGGCGTGGGCGGCGAGAACAGGGCCAGCCGCTGGTTCTTGAACTCCTCCTCCGACAGACCTGGATCGGCGGCGATCGCCGGCGCATCCAGGCCCGTGTCCGAGATGGCCACGCCGTGCAGCCGCCCTGCGAAAACCAGCAGCCGCGGCGCCCATCTCCCCGAACGCCAACCCCGGCTCGGCGACGCGCCAGGTCACCTCGGGCGGCTGCTCGCCCTCGGCCCTGCTGAGCGCTCCAGCCATGACGTCCCCCCGCAGGTCGCCTCGGGCGCGGGAGCGAGCCCGCGCCGCAGCCGTCAGCGGCAGGGACGGCCCTGTGGCGGGCAGGGCCCCCCCGCCTCATCAGGCGCCGCCGCGGGGGCACCAGCTCCAGGGCCCCTCTCAGGCGTGGCCCACTGCGCGGGCGCAGGCCAGTCGGGCAGCCCGCGCGCGCCCTGGAGCACCCCAGCGTGGAGCTGGGCCGAGGCCATGAAGTCCAAGAACTCTCTGCGCTGGATCGGCCGGTCGAACTGCACGATGTCGACGGCCCCCAATCCTGGCGGGCGCTCCCCCGGGCCCTCGATGGACACCACCTTCTCGTACAGGGTGGCGTCCTCCACATAGAAATCTCCCTGGGCTGTGTAGATCACCCAGGTCGACGCCGCGAGGGGCCACACCAAGACACGCTCATGGCCCCAGGCGTCACCCTCGAAAAACACCACGAACATGTGCCCGGGCCAAGGCGTAGTGGGCACGACGATCGCCATACTCCCACGGCTCTGTGCGGCACCCGCACGCAGTGATGAGGCCACCCGCGAAGCTGGACACCGTGCCGAAGATGATATGCAAGACACTGGCGTCGAGAGGTTCCCCAGTACCGGCTCCGACAAGTACACCCCCGCTGGCTCGCACTCCGGCTCGACGGGTGGTCCAGCGTCCTCAAGGCACCTCTCAGGTGCCGGGCAAGGGGTGCAGCGCTCAGAGAACTCTTCGCACCTCACGGGTGCGGGGCAAGGGGTACACACACACACCTCGCACTCGTGGCACACCTCGCACTCGATGGCCCGAGCGGGCACCTCTGTGTCCTCCACGGCCTCTCGGTGGGCGGCCGCCTGTCGGCGGGTCACCGCCGACTGAAGCGCGAGCTCCCCCAGCGCCAGCGCGCCTTCCAGCGCGAGCCCTCGCCGATCCGGCAGGCGATCCGCCAGGATGTGCCCCAGTGCTGCCAGGTATGGAGCGGCGAGCGCGGCAAGGGCGCAGGGGCGGGGAATGAGCGCCTGACTCCAGGCGAGAGAAGAGGCTTGGGCCGCATTGGCTGCGGACAGGCACGCGGCCCAGCCCCCCTCCTTCACATGCACGCACCCCCAGGAGGAGGAGGAGGAGGAGGAGGAGGAGGAGGAGGAGGAGGAGGAGGAGAAGCAGGAGGATGTGGCGATATCTGCGGAGGAGCCAGAGCGAAGGAGGGGGGGCCTCGAGCTGCTTGAAGGCCTCGTCCGCGAGTGCCCGGAGCTCCACATGCCGCCTGCGCGGGCAGGCGCTGTGGCGAGTTGCACAGGCGCTGCCTCGAGGCATCGGTCCTTTACCTCAAGAGGAAAGCTCGGCCGATCCCACATCCTGAACAACAGGAGAGCCCAAAGTCGAATGACTCGGGTCGGCGATCGAATCAAGAACCTGATCGGCGGAAAAAGCCGAGGCCTCCAGAATTGGTTGTTCCGACTCGCTTCCTCCCGCTGCTCCCCCACTCCTCCTCCTCCTCCTCCTCCTCCTCCTCCTCCGCATTCCTCTCGCTGCTCCCCCACTCCTCCTCCTCCTCCTCCTCCTCCTCCTCCTCCTCCTCCTCCTCCTCCTCCTCCTCCTCCTCCTTCCCCCCCTACTCCTCTTCATCCGCCTCCTTCACCCTTCCTCTTCCCCCCCACTCCTCCTCCTCCTCCTCCTCCGTCTCCTACCCCCCCCGCTCGTTTTCATCTTCGTCATCATCTGAGACGGAGGCACCGGCCGTAAAGCCTTCGCAATCGACAGCCAAGTCAAGAGAAGTCGAATCGGCGGAAATCGGCAGGCCAATAAGGCCCGCATTGAACCATCGGGATCAAAATCGAACTCCGAAGGCACATCGAATCGGAATCGGAACCGATAGAAATCGAATCGAGTCGGGGAAATCGGAATGAACCCTGAAAACCCCTTCTCTCAGCCACCAAACTTATCGGCAGGGCGGGTTGGGCGTTTCGCCGCGGATTTCCTCCCACGTTCCTCCCACGTGCGACCCCGAAATTCGAATGGTCTGACAACAACACGGGCTTTCGTCGAAGCACCGCGAATACATGTTCTGGCAATTCCAACACTTACAAATGTAGAATGCGGGGCATGTTCTAGGTGTGGTCCCCGCCGTGGCGCCGCGCTCACTCGTCTTGAAAAGTCCAAAAACTACACTGCTGGAGGGCGGCGCCGTTTCAAAATGGGGATCTCGCCTTAAGTGACTACCAAGAGAAAATACCTAATTGCACGATTACACGCAAACTAAAGCGGCGACTTTTCAAAATGAGGTTTTCGTTTGATACGCCATCTGGGAAATAACACTTGTCGCTGTCATCGCTTAGGGGGGGAGCCTGGGGGGTGAGGTACGCCCTCTTCGCCACGTGCAAACTCGCGTATGTGAAGGCGCCCCTCCCCCGGCCCCTTGCGTTTGCCAGGGGGCGCGGATTACGTAACTACTCCGACGGTACGCACCTGCCTGAAAATCTCCCTGGCGCGCATTCGCGTGACGATCGACGACCAAATGTGGAAACTATGCTAGGAGGATTTAATGGCGCAAGGATTTCTGGACACCAAGATGCCAAGGATGCCAGGGCGCAAAGCGGCAAGAGGCCAGGATGCCCAGATGTCAGTATGGCCAGGAACGCCCAGACGCCAGGGGACCAGGATGCGATACCGATTGTGGAAGAGTCTTTCATATTGAATGTGTAGGACCCTGAGTCAAGCGCCCTTTGTAAAGAGCCCGTGCTGAATACTTCCTCGCAATCGCATGGTTGGCTGCCATTTCCTAGCAAACTTCCTCACTACTGCGCTGCGTGGGAAAATACGGGGAACATTTTAACTGCGTTGACTTCTCTGCTCGAGCACGCGCGGGCCGATGCGCGGCCGTTGTCGGCGCGCGGGAGCACCTCTTAGCGTGATTCCACGGGGCTCCGCGCGGCGCGCGCGCAGCGGGGGCCGTGGGCGCCCCGATGGCGCGGCCACTGGCGCAACCCAAATGACCAGCGAAACGCGCATGCCAGAATCTACACCCCATGCCGCTAGCGACTGGCCGAACAAATCAAGCGCGACAACCTTCGTCGGCGAACAAAGCACCGCGCGACGGAAGGCAAATGCTCGACCATGGCTCAGGGGGCGCCCGCCCCGACCGGCGGGGCGCCGATGTCAACGTCGCCCTGGTCGCAACCGAACGAGGCGCTCGTCTGGGCGCCCCCCGCGCGCCTCGCGCGCGACTGGGGAGATGCGTCGAAGCGCGAACGCGCGGCCCCGGCGCGAAACGCTTGCGCTGCGAGGAAAGTCCAAGCGCAAAGGAAACAACGTCTCCATTATGCATGAGCCGCTATGGCCCACAAAGCGGCCCGCGAGGCGCGGCCAGTTTCCGCGTCCCCCGCGTGGCCAACTTTCGCGACCCCGCCTACAAATGTTTCCACGTGTGGATCGGAACCGCCCCAGGGAGTCGTCGGACGGCGGCCGCCGAGGCGCCCCTGCCGAGCTGCCGCGAGGCGACGAGCTCCCAGGCCGCGAATAATTCGCCAATCCGGCGCGTGAGCTACAAGGAGCCTCGGCGAGAGCTTCAGCTCTGAGCCTAAGGAAGAGCATCAGCTCTGCTTGGGGGGGTCGCTGGGGGGTGGCTCTGCGGGGGAAGGGCGGGGGGGGTCCCCCATCTTGGGTTTTCTTAACGGCGTGCGCATCCCGAAAATGTTCCGGGGGGCCCGGGAAAAGAGGGGGAGGGGGGGGCGGCCCCCTATCTGGCGTTTTCTTCATGACTCGCGCGTCCCCAAAAGGTTTCGGGGGGCCCCAGGGGCCCCCCTCAGATCTAGCCGCCGCCGCTCCCAGGACCCACCTCGGAACCCTCCCCAGTGCCCACCCGGGGCCGTTCCAAGCGCCCCCGCAGCGGGAGCGAGGGCGAGCGCGGACGGAAGGGGGGGGCGAGCACGCGACGCGAAGGGGTCAGCGGGAGGCAGAGGACAACGGGGACTTCGAGGAGGGAGGAGGCCACAGAGCCGCGAAGATCACCGAATCTGGAGCCCCCCGGATCGGCGGCGCTGGCCGGAGGCCATTGCATTCTGATCTCGAGGGGCAGCTGCGCGAAGGCAGAAAGGAGCGGGCGCGGGGCGAAGTCGGCATATCAGACTTCCGCGTCGCCCGGACAAGCGGCCATGTGGCGCGCGCGTCCAGCGGGGGGGCAGCAGGCAGGCTCCGGGCGATGCTCGCGGGGGGGCCCGCAAGAACAGGCGCGGTCGATGGCGCGCTCAGCGCTGGCGCGGCGCTCTGTTCGTAGAGCGCGCCGTGGAAGGCGCCGGCCACGTGGCGTGGGAGTATTGCTGCAGGGGCGGGTGTTCCCGTGACGTCTGGGTGCATGCTGGCCCCTGAAATTTATTCCAATGCGCGCCAGCTCACGTCACCACCTATAAGGAGAGCGCAGAAATCCGGGACTGCGCGATCGGATCAGACATGGTGTCAAACGCGCTCGCGAGAGGCACGTGTACCACGGGCTTCCAGCCGACCGGCCCCCGGGCGGGGGAAGCGCCCGTCACGCGGCGGGTGGAGGTCGGCGAGCGCAACGCGGTCCATGAGGCCTGTTCCCTTCCCGGATGGGGCGGAAAAGGTCGCGGGCCCGCGCTTGAAACGCTCTTCGCGGCTGAGTGCCCCAGAGGACTTCGCCTGGCGGCCCCCGTGGCCCGCGGCCGCGCTGGCGGCGTGGATCTGCGCTGCGCGCTGCGTGTCCGCGAGCGCGAATGCTGTCTGTCCGCTGGCCCCCCTCTCGAAGGTCATCTGTTCATAGAAGAAGAATCGGCACTCTTGGTGCCCATGGGTGGCGTCGACGCATGGGCGGCGCAGAGTGCTGTCTTCATCAGCGGCGCTCTCGTTCTCAACGCTCGCGCCGGACATCCTGCGCTCTCAGGCGGAGGGTGGGCCGGCCTCGATCCATTCCACATGCCGCTTCTCTGCTTTCACGGCCAGCCTGGGGGGGGGGAATATTTTCCTCCGCCTCGTCCGAACGTGTGCCCATGAAACAAATGTTGACACCCTCGCGCATGATCCGGGTCACAATCTGTTCAATCAGATTGTTCCGAATCCATTCGTCGACGCCAGCGATGAACTCAATCTGAGCGGCCCCAGTCTTCCAGCATCGCTGCGGCGCCAGGCGCATTCTGCAGGTGCCGACGTCGAAGTTACCGGGGAGATCGCGGTGGCAATTGTCGCAGTGGCGCTTCAGCACGTGTATCTCACGGGCGCCACCCAGGAGCAGAGTCTCAACGCGGACGCGCGCGTCTCCACCGGCGCTCAGAGATCGACCCAGGTCACGGAGGGCTCGATCTGCGGCCCAGTGAGCGCGATTGGTGACAAAATCGGCGGCCAGAGATTCCAATCCCTTTTCAGCCGCCCGGTCGGCAAGACCACCCGCCGACATGGTTTCGCGAGAATAATGTGCTGAGGCCGTGCCGCGGTGCTCGGCCATGACCTGCTCGGCCTTCGCACTGTGCGCGGCTTCTTCCTCGTCCTTCTCGGCGCCTTCCAGGTGATCGTCGGAATCAGTCCGCGGGACCTCGATGACCTGTTCCTGGGCGGGGGCAGCAGCAGACGTTGCGCTGTCTCGGTCAGGGCCGGGGCCCGGGGATTTACAAGGGTTCGGAATGGCACTGGCCTGTGGTCTGCAGAGCCCGGGCTTGAGCGGGTCGATGTCCACCGCCATTGGGTCGCCCAAGTAACTCTGGCACTTTTCGTCCGTCGTCGCGCCGCCTGCCCGCAAATTGCGCGCGGTTGCGAGGGCAGGGCGAGCAGTGTGGATGTTGGTCTGTGATGTCTCCACTAAGCGCTCAGAGGCGTCGTGCAGGATCATTGCGCATGTGTAGGGGGTCCAATGGACTAGAACGAATTCATGATCATCCTTATAGTCCATGTTCCAAATCAGTGCATGGGTAACACGGTTGCGCCCACAAGCGTCGGGCACCTGCAGAACCCATGGGCTACATTGGTCGAACTTCGCGTGAAGATCTATCGTGTCCGTCGTGAACAGGGACTTGATAGCGACGCTGCTGTCGCAGTTGCATTTGTCATCCACGTGCGTCGCGGTGATGACCTGCTGGACTTCACGCAATAATGTGTTCGGCTTCGGAGGTGATGGCCAGGTGGAATTTCCATATTCCTTGGCGGTCTCGAGTAATCCATCGGGTGGGGGGGTGGGGGTGTCAAGAATCGTTTCGGGTGGCTCGATGATCGGGGAGATGGTCATCGTCCTCTTCTCGTCAGCTTTGACAGCTTTCTCGT